GATCAACACTCCCACCCAACTTGGTGTCCTCCATGAATTTAGTGAGGAATGAGGAAATGTTAGAGTTCTAACAGAAATGTTAGAGAGTTCCTTCTAAAACCTGGGCTGTAGCTACAGACTAGGTAATGTTGGCGTTTGGTGGGACAAGGGTGAACCCCTTGAGTGGGTCCTGTTTGGGTGTCTGTGCTTTGTGTCCCTCACAGTCCCACTGTCCAAGGAGAACAGAAAGGAGCCAATTTAGGGCAGGCAGCGCTGTGTCACTGTCCCACCATGCTCATCTTCTCCCATTATGGTTGTTTCTCACCAGCGTGCGTCGAACCCAGGTCATTGACGACGAATCGGATTACTTTGCCACCGACACCAACCAGTGGCTGTCTAAGCAGGAAAGGGAAACTCTCCAGAAGAGAGAGCAGGAATTGCGGGAGCTACGTCATGCCTCTCGGCTTACCAAAAAAATCACCATCGACTTTGCCGGCAGGCAGATCCTGGAGGAAGACAACAACATGGCTGAATACCACAGCAAGTGAGTGAGAACTGGCAACATGACGGCGTGCCTTAGAGCAGGGAGGTGAAACTCCTTACGGGTCTGGCTGAATCAAGCTGTAAGCTGAGCAAGCCGATCCCTTGAAGGACACCTCCCATACTAAAATAAAATTTTAAATTCCTTTCTTCCTTGAGGGTCTTTTTGGCTTGCAGCATATCATCTCTTTCAGCACAACTCTTCTAAGACCCCTCCAAAGCCCAACTGTGTGAGACTTGCCAGGGGTTTCAGTAGATGGCATGTCTGTTAAAGATAAAGCTGCCCTGGAAAGAGATGTTGCAGAAGGCTTATCTCAACAGAACCGATTCATCTCAAATTCAAACCAGGCTGAGTTTCTGCACTCGAGAAGAGTGACTGTTTAAATTAGAAATCAAACTGAGCAAGGAAATTCGTTTAGTTAAGGGAGACGGTAAAAAATTCTTTGGGTCAGAAGTGTTTGTGTGGAGAAACGGGAGACGTTGCCAGGGAGAAGCAGGGAATTTTCATGCCTCTTGTTTGTGCTTGCAGACTGGATGAAACCATCGACGCCATTCACTGTGGCACGCTCAGCAAGCCAGCTGGGAGCCCAGAAGCAAAGATGACTCTGAATTCTGGTGTTTTAGTGAATCCTCGTCTTCTTCAGCCTCCTCCTTTGGTCAGTACGGGTTAAATAATTTATACCAGAGTAATGACTATCTTCAGGAGAGATGAGCTTGAGAGTTGTGAATTCTGATATGTTTGTAGTACATCTTTCCTCCGCTGTGTCTGTGTTGGGGACAGAGAAGGTTTACCAATGCCCTGCTCTCTTCCCTGCTCTTGGGAGATTTGGTTTATCTGGGTTTTAGTCTCCTGCCTCCTCTTCAGGAACGTGAAATAATTTCTGAGAGTCAGCCTAAGGCTGTATCACTTTTTCAGCTCTATTTATAAAGCCTTTTCTGACAGATTTCCAGAGATTTCCATGATCTCTACGCTCTAATTCCACTTTCATCATGATGTTCTTGGTGTATGCTAAGCATTTGGAGCTTGGACAATTCCCAGTTTTGAGTGTCGATGGCTGTGAATGTGCTTTGAAAATTGTATGTTTTTGTGAATGTTTTGAAACACTGGCGGGTAGATTTATTCTTTAAATCCACAGTTTAGCTGTGATGCCTATAAAGGAAAAGCTGCACAGAGCAGAGCGTGACCTTGCTTTTTCTTCGGCCAAAGTATTGCACGTAAGCGCAGCAAGGAAGGAAGGGCAGTCGCAATAAGAGTAATACCTCTGTCCTTCAATGAAGAAATTGTTGAAACAGGATTATTTTCACTTGATATACTTTGTTCCTAGAGAGGTGCTAACCTTTTTCTTCTTTCTTTTGAACACTCTGAAGTGGGTGGACCAAACAGGTTTGCTCCCACACAGGAAAGCTGTCCATGCCACGGATGCTGGAAATGAGCCTGGCTTGGAGCGGAACAGGTTGCGAATTCAGGATCGAGAGTTGCAGGAGATATCAGATGATGGTTGGTGTCTCAGCATGCACCAGCCTTGGGCTTCCTTGCTCATAAGAGGAATCAAAAGGTACAGAGGTGGCCTGGACTCATGTGTATCCTAGTCAGCTCTTGCTTTGTAGGCAAGACGGAAATTGTGCTCCTTAGAGGACCTTGGATATACTGATCATGATGTGATATGAGATGGGATATGCCATTGGCAGAGCCAAATGTCAGTTGAGCTGATTCATTTCAATATTCCTCACCCCCTTAGATCTTGCACTTGCAGACTGACAAAGCACAAAGTCCTTCACTCCCAGTGACACAAATGCAAACATGGGGATGTTCTCAGTGTTTCTCTCCTAACAAATCCCGGCTGAACCTAAACCCCAGCGCTGAAAAGAAACCAGCTCTGGCCAAGCTAAAAACCAGGACAACACTATCCACCTCTTATTCCAGACCATTTACATCATGCCCAAATTTTCACACTTCCTAATACATTTAGATTAATTACTACTACTATTCTTGAAAGACATATAAATAAATAAATATATATATACACACACACACATATATACAGATATCATTCCCTTAGTTCATGGGTTATCTCTCCAAACTATGTATTGGGTTCATTTAGTCCATAACTTTGAGTTCCATCTGTTGGATGGTCTTTCAAGGCAGAAAAATGATGTGGACTTTGCACAGTTAATGGAGCTGACATCATCAGGTACTATACAGTTAATGGAACTGGTGTTCCAGTAGAAGGATGGTGTGTAGTCTCTGTTGCATGCTGTATCTGGAGTTTGTAGGTGGTGTATTTCGTACAGTCCATGCCCAGGGGTGAAGATAATGACCTTGAAGAAGTCGCTGAGCACCAATTCTGGTTCTATCAGAGTTTGTAACTCATTAACCGGGGGAAATAATTAGTATAAAATGGTTAGTAGGGTGCACAACAGTCGTAACAATGATGATATGCAATTCATTGGCTATTTTCACCTAAAATCAAGTCTCCTTGAGGTACAAATTGAACTTCTCCATCTTTCTGCATCACCCACCGCGTACATCCTTGAGCAAAAGCAATCCCACGAATGGGTTTACCTTTATCCGAGGCAGGAATAACACAGATTGTTTTCCGTTACATATTTTTAAGGTGCACTACAGAGACAAGTTTAGGTTGGCCATGAGGAAAAGGTTCTTCACCCTGGGGGTGGTGGAGCACTGGAACAGGGTCCCCAGGGAAGTCATCATGGCACCAAGCCTGACAAGATTCCAGAAGCATTTGGCCAACATGTGCCCTCAGACACATGGTCTGAATGTTGGGATTGTCCTGTGCAGGGACAGGATTTGGACTCAATGATCCTTGTGGGTCCCTTCCCACTCACAACATTTCATGATTCAACGATTCTATGTTTCTGTGATTCTATGACTTTTTCCCTTTCCACAGTACAGAAAAGTCTTGATTGGGCAGGGCCGGCCTGATTGGCAGATCCTCTAGTGTTGACTAACCTAGTGGCTTTTACTAAATGTGCGTCCCAATGTTTGAAAGTTCCACCACCCATCGCTCTCAGTGCGGTTTTGAGCAGTCCATTGCATCGTTCAACTTTCCCGGAGGCTGGTGCCATCCCACAAAGGGATGTGATATTTCCACTCAATGCCATGTTCTTTGGCCCAAATGTCTATGAGATTGTTTCAGAAATGAGTCCCATTATCTCACTTGCTTCCTCATCCACTGTACTGATGGTTTGAGAAGCTGGTGAATCCATTTTTCATGAGAGGAGCTAACCTGGAAGGTACAAGTTTCTTCACAGTGGATAAATTTAGAGAGAGACTGAGATTTCTGTGCTATAATCGGGGCGTACCTTTCTGAAATTTGAAAGACAAATAAGCTGAAAATGTAGAATATGTTCTTCTGGTCTTTTTGTCCATTGTAAAGAAGCTGACAGTGGCACCAGGCTTTGTTTAAAAAGAAAAACCGCATGCACACCTTCTTCATAATCAGGTTATGAAGAGAAGCTCCTTCAGCCCAGCATCCCTGGCATGTTTGTTCACCTTTCCTTCCACTAATATAGAACAAAGAATCCTTTTTTTTTCTTCACAGAATTTTTCATTTTAGAAAGCAAAGCTTTTTCACTTCCCAAACTAAAGATGCTGTAAATCTTAACGTACCTGGCTTCTGCATCTGGGTGATGCTGTCAGCCGCTCCGATACAGCCACACCAGTGCCCATGCTGGGATTCTTGAGCGCCGCAGCTAATGACTGCTTCGTACGGACGCCTGGGCTGTTATTACTCCCTAGACTGCGTGTTTACTGTGTGTAACTTTTTGGAATTGTACGAGCAGATTGTCCTACGCACATGTCTGACATCCTGCTGTACTGGCAGGGGATTGATGTCTTTTTTTTTGCTGTTGCTCTAAAGCAGCAAGGGCATGTTGTGGCATTATTTCTTGCTCGTCTCAGCTTTTCTCTGTAGTGCTGACACGTCGCTTGAGTTTAAATAGTCAGGGCAAA